TATATATATATATATATATATATATATATATATATATATATATATATATATATATATATATATATATATATATATATATATATATATTTTTTTTTTTAAACCGTGTCTCTTTAAGAATGGAGACACTGTCTCATTCATTAAAGCTGCAACCTGCAGGATTTTCATGGCATTGCATTTGCAGGAGAGTGAACTTTCGCTTCTTTTTCTGTCTTATTAACGTTTTCTGATTACACTGCAGCTACGATGTTCACTCTTGTCTCTCTGTTTTAAACATTCAAATGTTGTTGTTTTTTTTTTTTTAAATAAAAGACCAATTATTCATAATGCTGACCCACTCATAATATTTGCAATACAGTGGCTAGCCTTTCACAAGGAAACTGAGACTATAAATATTGTTTATATAATAATCTATAAATCTGAGAAATTTTATATTTTGAATTCAGATTCCACCCTTTTTCCTGGTTTGATTAATAGAAGTCCTGAAACTGAAACAGTGAGATTTTAGCCTATCAGATGGTGATAGAGCAATGAGGGAAAACTAAAACAAGTAGGTGAGAGGTCTGTAGTTATAGAGAGGTCTGATATACTTTGCATAATATCAGAGGCTGTTTCTGAACATTTGTGCTTTCTACAGTAACAAGGACTTTGGTAGATATGCAGTTTCTGATCTGATATATAACTTGGATATGTATAGACTTACTTACAGTAAGTATTTTATTTATGTTTGAACAGTGCAGAAAATGTATAATGTCTCATGCATATTGACTTGGCCTACAAATGGCACAGCAGGCTCTGCAGATAAAAACTAACATTAACACAATGAACAGGGCCGGCCCAAGCCTCCATGGGGCCCTAAGCGAAATGTGGTTTTGGGGCCCTCCAGTTCTGCTAACAATGTGGACTGACTGCAATCAGCAGTCCGATCATTAGATCATTCACACATCTGCTATAAACTTATTGCATCTTTGGCTGTTTATATTATATACATGTATAATAGGATACATTTATTGGCCAACTGATTTATCGACCAGTTGATTTCTGGGTGCCGATTTCCTTAATTTTGGGGGATCGTGATTGTCCGATACTTACACGTGAAGCCCATCTTATCCCCTAATCTT